GGTAACCCAGAGTCAGAGCACTCGCTCACCCTTGGGGCTGGTGCAAGCCTTCCCCTTTCCCCTGAGAGAGGACCCCCCACAAACCCCTGCCCAGGGCTCTGGGCGAACACCAGCCACAGCAGCCCCTGCCAGCTGCCCCAAGGCTGGGCACACGCAGCTCACTGAGCCCTTCTCCAACCCCCTCTGTGCCCCCCGTTCCACAGAGCCCCCATGCCAGCAGGCCACCCAGCTCAGTCAGGGGCCCTCAGGCCTCAGGGACCCTCCTGCAGGTGGAGGGTGGGGGGCCTGCTTGGTTCTCTGCGCTGCAATAAGGCGCGCAGGACTGCACACAGAAGGTTCTCAGAACATGGGGTAAAATAATCAAAACTTAGAAAACAGGACACGGTGGCCCTGGCAGGGTGGCCCTGGAGACAGGAACAGGACGCAGGCTGGCGTGTCTCTTTCCCACGGTTTCCAAGATCACAAGGGCTCAGCGCAGGGCACACATGGGGACCTGGGGGCAGAGACCTGAGCTTGCACCCCCGCTGCCTCACTGCCTGGCTGTGCAGCTTTCGACGATTCACTCAACCTCTCTGAGCCCCACTTTCCTCTTCTCTAATATGGGGCCAACTCCTAGGAGGAGCAGTTTGTGAGGTGAAATTCATGAGCTAAGGCAAGCACTAAGCACAAAAAAGGCATTTGAAAAACAGTGGCTTTTCAGAAATTTATGCATGTGAGGAAGGGGGAGGAGTCTGAGTGGAAACCTTCACACCTTAGGGCTTTCTGAGAAGCCACCACTGACCTTTGCCCACGGCTTGGCCCAGATTTGGTCGGCACCTTGGGCAGGAGAGGTGACCAGGCCTGAGGCATCTGTGGTGGCCACTGCCTCTGTAGCCTCAAAAGGAGGCACCCCCACCTGTCTGCTTGGCTTTGGGGAGTCTGCAATCTTGCCTTTCAGTCCACCCTGTTCCAGAGCAAAGCCCAGGGCCCCATTTTCCTAGCACAAGCAGTTGAGGGGAACCATGAGGATTTGAGTCTGTTTTGTTCACTCCTCAGTCAGCATCTCCAACAGGGCTTGTTTGCAGGCACTCAGCTCAGTTGGTGAGTGAGCAGAGGGCAGCCTCGCCCAGCTCCCCTCCTGGACGGCCTTCCAAGGTGCCATGTCACCCACTCCTCAGCCCACACCCAGGGGGTGTCGTTTAGCAAGAAGCTGCTGCAGGAGGAGAACTGCCCGGTTCTCAGTGGCCTCAACGGTGGTGGCTTCTTTCTCGCTCATGCTACAGAAGTCACAGGTGTGGGGCGCTCACTCTGGAACCCCAACTCACAGCCTTCAGCTCAGATGATCCCTGTCATGAGGCAGAGGGAAAAGGTGCTGTGGGTTCCAGGCAACTCAGCACTGAGACCCTAGCCCAGTATGAAGCATGTGATCCCCACTGGCAGGGGCCAGGTGTGCAACCCCCGGGCCCGGGGGCCAAGCCAGAGAGACTGAGGACACATGGGGGTGACACTATGGCTGCTGCACAGGTGTTTTATTACCCCATGTCTACAGAGAGGATGTGGGGGCTGAGAGGTGAGCAGCCTTACCCAGACACAGCCGGTAACAGCCACGTCTGACCTGCAAACGCACCCAGCCACGCCCAGGGCCTGCTGTGTCTGTATAGAAGAGAAGCTCACTCAGTGACTGAGGCTGGTGAAAGACACCTGCCCAGTGACTGAGGCTGGTGAAAGACACCTGCCTACATGCCCTCGCCAGAGGTTCACACTTACATTACACAGCTGGCGGACAAAGGCAAAGGTGGAACCCAAACTGATTGGAGACGTGTTTCCCTCAGACCACGTCTTATTTTATGTCATTGGAATCTGTTGGCAATGATTAAAAATTAGGAGATTTCATATTTTGAAAAACCATCATCTCTTTTCGAAAAAAGTTTTTCGACAGGAAGGCCTGGCACCCATAGCCTGCACCCCCATGAGACTGCCATCTGCATGTCACCAGATGGGGTCACTGTCAGAAAGGAGGCTGGGGTCTGGAAGGAGGGGCACCATGAACACAGAACCCCTTCCCACGTGTGCGCACACACACACACACACACACACACAGTGTCACTGTCTTCACTCATTGTTCTAACCTCCTCACTTTCACAGCCACCGGGTGACATTGTGTCACCTTAAAAGTATTCAGAAGGTGTCTCCTTGGGGGAGGCAGTCTGGGGCCTCCAGTCAAGGTGGAGCAGGAAAGCCTCTACTCCCTCCTGTGGACATTTGAACTTGCTTCCAGGGTCCACTTCTGTCACCTGAAGAACTTTTACATGTGCAGGAAACACAGATGACAAGTGAGACAGCGACCCCATCTGGTGATGTACAGTATTACAGCTCTGCTGGACAAGACCTTGTAAATACCCAGATACGTGGAGTGTTTACAAGCACATTCTGTGCGCCATCTCAGTCTTTTCTAACTATTTTCAGCCTACATAAAATGTCCTTCATTCTTTGAAAATTGAGGTAGCATTAGTTTACAACACTGTAGAGGTTCCAAGATTCCATTTTCTCACCACACCCACCACCAAATGTCTATGTGCCATCCATCACCAACCATTCAGCTCGTTCTATTCCTCTCCTGCTCCCTCCTCTCCTCTGGTAACCACTACCCTGTTGTCAGAGTCTATGGTTTGTTTTTGTTTTCTTTATATGCCACAAATGAGTGAAGTCATCCATTATTTGTCCTTCTCCTTCTGACTTATTTCATTTGGCATCATCCCCACCCATTCCATCCATGTGGCCACAGACGGCGAGACTATGAGCATTTTTATAGCTGAGTAATGTCCCCTTGTGTATTTGGATCACATTACCTTCACTCATCCCTCCATCACCAGCCACTGACTGCTGTCATATCTCAACTTTGGCCAACAGTGCGTCAGTGAACACAGAGGCGTGTCTGTTCCAGATAGTGTTTCATGTAAATACCCACAAGTAGGATTATCAGGCCCTCTAGTAGATGTATTTTTAATTGTTTGAGGAATCTTCATACCATTTCCCACCAATTTATATTTCCACCAATAGCACATGAGGGGTCTGGTTTCTCCTCATCCTCACTGTTTCTTAACTCTTGACGTTTTGGCAATATTCAATCAAATGCCCTGCTCCACCACACTCAGGGGCACCTGTGAGCTAGGTGGGTCAGGTACTGGAAAAGAGGGCTCAGCATGATGTTGCTGGGGGGCACAGTGAGCCCAGGCCTCTTCAGCAAACTGCAACTGCCCAAGTTCCCCACCCTGGTGCCACCTGCTTTCCAAGGCTGGTATCATGGAAAAATCCACGCCCTTCCCTCAAATAGCCATGGGGGCCACAGCCAGAGACCACAAGGCTGAACACAGCAGGAAGAAGGACCAGAGACACTGGGTCTCATCTGAGAGTCTCCATCCTCTCAAATGGAAGAAATTCCTGCGGCCAGGGAAGAGTAGATGGGGCAGGTCACGGAAACACACAAATGTTCCACAGTTCTGCCAAGCTGCTGCCCCCAGGGGCCTTCCATACCACATGGTCCCATCCTTCTACCAAGATGTCTTCCCTGGGGAGTGGAGTCTCATCTTGTCATGGAAGTCGAGGAGCTAAGTGGAATCTAATTTGCAGAAAAGTGCATCCAGGCTAAGGTTGCTTCAACTTCTTTCCTGAAAGCAGAAACCCGACAGCTTCCTCTCAGTCCCCACAGCCTCCGTTGAGGGCTTCTGCATGTTGCCAAGTTTGTCACGGTTGAGGCTTGGTGGCCGTGGAACCTGGAGACAACTGGCCTCCAGCTCCACCACGTTGGCCTTTTCCCATCCCCTCAGGAAAGCCATGGCAGGTCTAGAACCCTCCCCACCGGCTCCTGCAGCTTTGGGAGGAAAGGCAGCAACGGTCCCCAGGAAGCGGGGGTCTTAGGTCAAAGCCCTGGCCAGTCCTCCGCTCCCACCTGACCTCTCTTTCAAGTTTTGTTGTGGGCTTGGAGAGCAAAGCACTACTTTCAGAAATATTTCTTCCTACTCCTCCTTCACCCTCCTTCACTGTCTGGAATTTTCTCACCTTTCTGGAATGAGGCTGCCAGTGCCCTGGGAGCACAGGCCTGGAGAGCCGGTCCTTTTCCAGGCAGATGGGAATCCATCTCGGGGACACAGGTCTTGTTATGTCCTTTCTTCTCCCAGACATCTCAGATTCCCCAGAACTGCTTCTTTCCCACTGAAAATGGGACTCCTCTCTGTTGGGCTCTGTGCAGAAAGGATGAGAGAAGGCAGGTGACTCGGTAGCAGAGACCACACAGGCGTGGAAAGCAGGATCCGGGCATGGGGAGACCTGGCTGCTGGGGGCACAACTGGGGCTACATTGACCTGGATGCTGCCCCCCAGCCCTGACCAAGCCCAAACAGGGTGGTAACAGCACTAACCCGGACGGAAGGAGCTGAGCTCACGAGAGGAGGAGCTGAGCTCATGTCGCCTGCTCATGGCACAAGCCCACTCACTGCTGGTAACCCCTTGTTCAGGAGGCAGGTGGGCTCACCGGGGCCCAGCTGACCCGACTGGGCAGCTTCTGGGACACTCCACTTGCTGAGCACCCTGTGAATCCAAGATTCCAGTCAAACGAGGGAGAGGAGGGGATGCGTCTATGAGACTGCGCCCTGGAGCCCCGCCCTCCAGAACAGGAGATTCGCGGCCAGGACCCAACGCCCACCCTCTGGGGACACTGTGAGCTGACATTTTCACAAACCCCAGTCCTCAACACAGGCGTTCCAGGGCATTTTGACGTGAACAAACTGACGTTATTGTTCATTGTAAACACACAAGCGTGCATTTTTTGTTTTTAATAAGTACAGCGTCTCCAAATACAGACGTGATTCAGTCCCCTCTCCCTGCCCCCCCCCCATCCCCAAGCTCCCAGGGGTCCACCGAGTCCAGGCTTTCAGCGGAGCGCGGTCCCACAGCGCCCCCTGCTGGCTAAGGCGGCACTATGGTTTCTAGCAGGGATGGGCGCGGCTCCTGGGCCTGCCTGAAGCAGAGGTCAGGGTGGGGCTGGGGTGCAGGCTCTGCAGTCTCCTCTGGCAAATCACATCCCTCAACTTGCTGTTGTCGCTACTCGGGTTCCGGGTGACCAGCTTTCCCGGGCCTCACACCCAGCAGCCCTGGAGGGCTGTGACCTTCCCTGAACGGTCCTTCAGTCCCCACACCTGCCCTTTCCTCTCGCACCTGCGATCTGTCAAGAACCCACGAGTTTCATTGCTGCTTCCCTGTCCCTCACTCCTCATATCCACGTCCTATCAGCTGCACCCCAAGTTGTCCCCTCTTCACCCACTGCCCCACCCACCAGGCCACTGTCACCTTTCACACTGCCTCCCTCCAGCCCCACCCTGCCTCCCTCCAACACCTCACACCTACCTGCCCCCACAGTCCTGCAGCCGTGACCTCCACCTGCACCTTAAAATCCTCAGGGCTGCAGGTTCTCCATGCAAGGCCTGGCCCCCTCAGGTCCCTCCACTCCGGCCACACCTGCTCCCCCCTTCTCTGCTGGGAGTACCTCAGGACCTGGGCACCGGATGTCCCAGTGCAGTTTCCCCAATTTCTTCAAATCTGTCCGTCGGCCTAAGTGGCGCCTCTCATGGCCTACCCCAGAAACACACCAGTGTGCCCCCCCCCCCCGCCGCCTCACCTCCCTCAAGCAAAGCCCTGCTCTTTCTCTCCAGCAGCCTCCCCATGCTCCTGAGCGAGCTGACTCTGGGCTGTCCTCTGTCTCCCCACTAAATCTCAGCCTGTGTGGTGCCCTCCTGCTTCTGTCCACTACTGTGTCTCAGAGGTGGAGCCCAGAGATGATCTGACAGACCCCCATAGGTCTGTGCACCCTCCAGTCCCGTGCGCACAGGGATGGAGGGAAAGGGGGAGGCAGGCAGGCGCACAGCCCTCTCCCAGTGCCCGAGGAGCACGCTGCACGCGGTGGACATCCACTAAACGCCAGCTGGCGTCTGAGCTCCTCCACTACAGCCCTCTGCACCTCGGACAAGGCCGACACCCCCACTGCTGGGCTACCCTCACTGGGTTCTCACTTTAGCGTGGTCTGGGGACTGGGTGCAGAGGGCAGATTTCCCCTGACGCCCAACCACTGGGGCTGGACAGGGTGAGCACCCACGCAGCCCCGTCCAAGGCCAGAGCCCTTTCCATTACAGCTAAGGAAGTGCAACACCCTGCGGCCCTGGCTTTTATTTTAGGGGTGCCATTTGAACCCTGGGATAAGGTCGAGACCCCTTTGAAATCTGAAGAATATTAAGGAAATAAAATACCCAGAAACATGCATAAGGTGCAACTTCTTGTGGCTGCAGTTTCCTGAGGTTGGACTGTGACCCCCAGGTAACACCCATGACCCCCAGTTTAAGGTACCCCCTGGGAGGCCATCCAAGACTCCTCTTAAAACACCGCCTCTGGGGACTCCCTGATGACCAAGGGGTAAATCTCAGCACTCTGAAGATATCAGCAGCCACTATGGCCTGAGTGCTGTCCCCTGCCAGGGAGCTGACCCACATGGAGCAGCAGACCTCTCCCCTCTCCCCACTGCCCCCCTTAACAGTGTATTTCACTAGATCTGCATGTTCTCCTTCCTACTCCGTCTGTGATGAATCCTCTCAACTCCCTCCCACCCGCACACTTGGCCCACACCCCAACTCTTGTATGCATAAACAAAAAAAAAAAAAAAAAAAAAAAAAAAACTTCCTCTGAACAACCTGTGTGCGCGGCTCGCCCCCCTGTGGCCAATCCCGGAATTGCTCAGAGGCCGGTACCGGTGGCTCTAGCAGAGGGTTTTCCCAGCACCCCCAGGGCGGGGCTCCCGCTCCTCAGCCCCGGCAAAGCTGGCCATGGGTTTAAGCGGGGTTGAACCTCGAGATGGATTCACTTGTCAGAAAGATTTCTCAGGGCTGTGCGTGGAGAATAGACCTCCCGCGACCCGAGGAAATAGGGAGTCCAGTGAGAGACCCCAGGGCGTCAGCCAGGACAGTGAGTGGTGACCCCCAGCCTCAGGAACCCTGCAAGGCTCGCCACCTCTTCTGAAATCCACCTGACCCTATCAGGGAGGCATTCGATTATCCCCACATCGCTTAATAAGGAAGCCTGCCTCGTGACTATAGTCATGGTGCCTAGTGAGCTCCCAATAAATGTTTGGGGAAAGGACCACTGCCTGCCTGAGGGAAGGAATGCGTGAAAATCCATCTTATTGAGGTCCTGGGACAATGCCAGGAACCAGGGGTCACATTACCAGCCTTGAGGTGGGGACGATAGCCAATCCAACCAAGACTTCTAACACATGCTGAAATTAACACGAGTAGAGACACAGTGCACCCGAGAGTTTCATGAGGAGAAGCTACGTGAGTAGGAGTCATCAGCGAGGCTTCCTGGTGGAGGGCGCAAGGCTAGCATGGAGACTTTGATAAGCAGGACCTGAGCACGCAGAGGGGAGGGAGGGCCCTGGGTGTCCTTTTTAACAGAGATTCTTGAGGCCCTCCCTGGTGGCACAGGGGTTAAAGCACAGCACTGTGAAGCTATCCGCAGCCACCTCAGCATGAGTTTGAGCTGACCCACATGGCGCAGCAGACCTCTCCTGTCTGCCCACTGATCCCCTCAAGCAGTGTACTTCAGTCCATCTGCCTGTTCTGCTCCCCACTCTGTCTCTGGTGAACCCTCTTATCCGCCCCCACCTCTGACCTGTGCCCCAGTGCTTGTATGCATAAATAAATAAATCTTTAATTAAAAAAAAACCTGAATATACCTCTGTTCTGGTGAGTGCAAAGCAGATGACACCCTCGTCCCCTTGCCGCAGACTCAGGGTGCTCCTGCCCCTGCCTGGGGCCTGGCAGGCCTCCAAGGGTTACAGATCCAGCACCCCAGCTCCTGGGGCATTGCACCCACGTGATCTGAAAGTACAGGTAGCCACAAACACCTGTACTAGTGTTCGTAGTAGAAGCTTTATTTTCTTTTTTTTCTTAAAAATTTATTTATGCATACAAAAACTACAGTACAGGACAGAGGTGCAGGGAGTGAGAGGATTCACCAGAGACAGAGTGGAGAGCAGAACAGGCAGATCCACTAACATTTACTGCTGAGGGGAGCAGCAGGGAGACAGGAAAGGTCTGCTGTACCCTGTGGGTCAGATCCCTGGCCGAGGATCGAACTGGTCATGTGCTGCAATGGCTGCAGAGAGCTTCATAGTGCTGCACTTTAACCCATTGTGCCACCAGGGAGGGCCCAGGTTTATATTCTTAATGCCCCCAAATTGGAGAGAGTTTAAATGCCCTTCAACCTGCACAGGGTTCAAGCCCAGGGTCCACGCAGAAGACAGGATTCTACCAATTGCTGCTGTGGGATTCTGAAGCACTGTGGGACAGAGGCCTGACTCCAGCTTCTCCACAGCCTGCGTGCTGCAGTTTCATGTCCACAGCTTTTGGAAACGGTAAAGCTTTCTGGTTGCTCATCTGCCTGCAGGGATTGACTGCAAAGGGAAGGAGGAGGAAATCGTGGCGGCGGTAGCGTGTCAGTAGCTGGATTGGGTGTGGCATGCACATCAGGACCTGTTCCTGTGTGATGTGAGTTCTGCTTGGTACATTTCTTGAAATATAAAATACAAAGAGGCACGTCCCAGCAAAGCTTCACTTCCCTGTTTGATCAATGCTGAAATCTGGAACACACTGGAGTTGCCCTGCTCACCTGCGGCCCTAGGGGTGAAGGCAAAGCAGCCTGTCACCTCGGTGGACACCAGGAATGTGCAAATACCCCTTAGAGTAGCCGCCTCAACTTACATAGACATTTATGTTGCAGAGAGCTACAGAGGGTGATCGTCAGCATGCTTGAAGGCATAAATGGTTAACACTCAGGTGGGAGAAGATAAAGGCTTCCCGGTGGGCTAACGCTTATGATGGGTGGTGCCTCCCCTCGCCATCCTTAGAGCACATCAGGACCATTTAAGAGAAAGCTTATTTTCCAATGAAACAACAGTGACAATAGGCAGGAAATGTCACCTTTGCAAGTGTGGTTAATCCCTGAGCCCCACCCCACCCCCACCCCACCCCCAGGTTCAAGTGCCCAGGCTGCAGCGTGACTCAATCAGCCAATGGGGAACCTGTGTTGTTCAAGGGTCAAATGTATTTAAAGTTAAGATAAAACTGCCGTGTCAGTGAATCCTTATGTGAAAATACTGCTGTGCATTCTCTGAATGGATTGTGGGGTGCGCTCTGCTGGCCCTGCCCTGTGGGATGGGACCCCCATGAGCGGGTCCCCAGTGGGAGCCCCGCCACCCCCCACAGCGCAGGCTGGGGGATCCACTCACCTCCAAAGAGGCTGTGAAACCCAGGTGAGGAAGAAGAGGACACCCCGCCCTGCCGGCTGTGGGGCTGCGCCTTCCTTGAAGGAAGTAGCGGTGGGGGGGGGGTAGGGGGGGGTAGGGGGGTGTCTGCAGTGGGGAGAACTGGGAACAGCTGAGACCCGAGGTGCCGGCTGAGGCTTGGCACCTGGGCCCTCGGCCTAAGAGAAGGGGCTCAGTGTACGCCCGGAACCCTCCGCATGTCCCCCAGAACCTGGACTGGCCGGGGCTGAGGCGGCCAGTCCTGACCCGCAGCGGGGGTGGCGGACAAACCGGCCAAACGATTGTCTCCAACCCGGAGCCGCACTCAGGCCGCTCTGCCCCGCGGGGGCAGCCAGGGGGCGCTGTGGCTGGACTAAGACACCCAGGGGGGACCTTCCCGGGAGGCCCCCAGCCCCTGCAAACAGGACAACACGTCTCTGGCATTCTTTTTTAAAAGATTTATTAATTTAATAGTGAATTATTTTCAAAAGGCAATAAAATTAATTTCTTTTCCAGTAGAAAAGAGACAAGCTTCCTCCAGAGCCCAGAAGCCCAGAGCTGGTGGGTGCACCTCCAGACTGGTGCACCTCCAGACCCTCGCACCTCCAGACAGGGCCCCGCCGCGGGGCCCTGTGCACTGAGGTTCCTGGGGCTGCCTGGACAGGGCCCCACACCCCACAGCATGTGGCCGGCTAGATACACAGATGTCAGTTTCTGCTGAAATGGGCAGGGGACCCCAGTCTCAGTGCCTGTGGACTTTAGGGGTCAGAGGCCTTGGGGAGAAGCAGCTGTGTCCAGCCCTCACAGGGGCCTGCTGGTCTCTACTTGTGGGTGTCCACTGCTCAGGGCTCTGGGGCAGGGGGCTGGGCCAGCCCACAAGCAGGGCCATGAGGCCTGCACTGGGCCTGGCCTGGCCACGGGTGAGCTTCAGTAGAACAGCTGTGTTTCCTGACAGGGGCGAAGACCAGGGGAAGCAGCGAAAGGGCTCAGAGCTGCAGCTCCGGGCTAACAGGGTGGTCCTGGGTTCTCCTAAGGCGAGATGAGCACCCTTGCCCTGGCCAAGCCCGCGGGTCCCTGGGAGAGGTTCCAGAACAGTCCTTGTTGATGAGTTTCTCCCCAGACCTCTTGGCGGTGGCCCCATCCCTGAGTGGGTCTGCACACAAATCAAACCCCACACCCAGGCAGGGAGTGCGGTGACCAGGGGCTCAGACTGTGAGACTGGCAGGCTGTCTACCATGAGAGTCCTGAAGAAGTGGGGTGCAGGGGCTGGGGGGCCAGTCCGGCTGTGTGGTCAGGCTGGGCTGGCTGGTGGCATCATCCGGACCCTGTGGAAAAAGGGGCAGCTGGGTCACCCAGTCCCATTGCCCAGTCCCGCCCAGCCCCACAGAGTCCCCCACTGCAGACACTTCTCTGCACACCCCCACCCCCATCAAGCTGGAATGGAGTGGCCTACAGAGCCTGGGTGAGTCCCACAGAGCCCTCACCCCCACCTCCCTGTACCCACTTCAGAGGTGGGGCGCTGAGATCCCCAGGGACAGGGACAGAGTGGACAGAGAAGGCAAGTGGGGTTGATGGGCCAAACAGGCAGCAAGAAAGGAGTGACTCCCCAACGATGGCCACTAGGCAGCCCCCGCCTAAGCTGCCGCACAAACAGGTAGGAGCCCCCCACCCTCCCCACCACGGGACAGGGCTTGGGCTCTCCCCACCTCCACCGTCCCTGGAGACACAGACAGATGTCAAGTCCCTGGCCACGTGGCCTCTGCCGAGAGCAAGGGACACAGAATGGGGGCACAGGGGCAAAGAGCACCGAAGGAAACGTTGCAACAGGACAAATGCTGACACTGCTGAGTCCGGCCCCACGGCTGGGGTTTGGAAAACCCCAAATACCCCCATGCCTGTGTCCCGGTGACGACCCCCAAGGGCTCAATTCACCAACTAAGCAAAAATCGAAACCCCCACCCTGAGCAGGACAGAGGGAAAGGGGGACAGATTGTGAGCCAGTCAGGGACAGGGGCATTCCAGAGTGACCAGCCCCTCCTCCCGCAGGACCTCAGCCATGAGAAAGAGCCACGCCGTGAGAAAGACATACTCAAAAGCTGAAGGCAAAAGTCCCCCAAACTGGGACAGGACCTCTGGTCCGCCCCAAGGACGCATGTGCGACGAATACTCAAAGAGCCGGAATATGGCTCCCATATTCTCCTGTTTCCTCCCACTTCTGTTCCACTGAGAAATGTGGACTTGGAATGGGAGAAAGTTTAATGAGAAGATCAGAAAGGAGCGGGAACGCTTCCTTCCAGGGCTGCCCTGTACAGCCGTCCAGGCTGGGCACTGCCCAAGGGCAGCCCCGCCAAGAGGTGCTGCAAGCAAGATGCCATCCTCCTCCTGCCAAGCCCCTGCCCTAGAACAGGCTAATTCTGCACAGCCTCTTCTTAGTCACATGAAAAAGGCCTCTTGGGACAATGGAAGCCCATTTCCGAATTTCTGCCAAGTGAGAGCCCTTCGGCCCAACTCCTGGTACAGGGCGAGGTGTGGTGCCCGATGGAGGTTCCAGGCCTCCAGAAAGAATCCCAGCTGTGGGCCCCAAGCTGAAGTGGAACTCCAGAAGGGCAGGTACTCCCCCCCAAACACAGAGAACTGGGGGAGGAGGCCTCATCTGGGGTGGAGGCTGAGCCTCCTTCCATAAGGCAGGGATCAGATCTGAGTCACAGTGTTCCCAAGAAGTAGAAAAGAGGGCTCTGCTGGAAAGAGAAGAGACCCCAGCTTGGGTTTATTTCGGGATGGTGGCAGGACGTCCTGGCCTGGTCCAGGGAGGTGCGGCTGTGGGGTACAGACTGCAAACCAGCAGCCTGCTCTGTGCTGAAACTGAGCGACCCCTTCTCTGTGCCCGCAGACCCTACCCCTACAGCCCCAAGCAAGTGTCTGCAGAAGGAGCCAGAGCTGGAAGGGGACAGGAGGGCTGATGGGGACAGAATGGGCATGACCAGAGGAATAGTAGGAGAGGAAGGAAAGGGGACACTGTCTCTCAGCCTGGGACCACATTCTGGGGAGAACAGCCCTTCATACCCAGCCCTGTGGGCCAGCCCCACCCTCCTGGTCCCGGATCCGCAGAAGCCCCTGCCTCTCTCCCTCCTCCTGGCGGGGACGGGACCTGCCAACACAAACACACCCCCACCCACTGCTCAAATTCTCTATTTGACTTCCTCCCCCAGCCCTGGCAACGTAGCCAACTGGAGGCAGCCAAGTGGCCCAAAGAGCAGGCGTGTTGCCTCATCCCGGCTCCGGCCTTTAGGGAGGTATCTAAACCCCAGGAGGCCCGGCAGCTCTCACTTCTCAGACACCAGAAGAACAGAGGCAAAGCCAGAGTGCAAGGGGAGACCCCCCAGCACCCGCAGGCTGCAGAGTCCATGGCTCTGCCTGCCCCAGCTCCAGGGTCGGGGCTCCCTAGGCCTCCACCTGAGGCAGCGTGGCTGGATGAAGGACTCCAGAGGCCTAGCCTGCTTCTCCTGGGGCAGTATACCAGCCAAAAGCAGGGCTTCCAGCAAAAGCTGGATTTCAGGAAAATAACAAATAGGTTTTCGGGACAGCCGGCCCTATCAAGCAGGGGCCACACCCCGCACCTATGCTAGAAGCTATTCAGTCGACCCCAATCCAGCTTTCACCAGCATCCTTCTGTGGTGGTTACCTCTGGCATTTTCTGATTTGTTTTTACTCAACTGGCAACCCCACCTTGGGCCCCATCCTGAGATACAAGGGGTGCTCAGGGGTGCTTCAACTCCCATCATCCCAGAGTAAGCCAATGTTTCTCAAACCAGGGTCTCCCTCCCTCCACACAGGAACACATCTAGAGGTGCCCATTAAAGACACAGGGCTCCCCCATGTTTATTGCTGCTTTATTTACAATTGGAAAAACATGGAAGCAGCCCAAATGCCCAAAAGTAGATGACTGGATTAGAAAGATGTGGT